AAATTGCGAGACCGAATAACGACCGACAAGCCGAGCGTCGCGCGGTAGGTGGCGCAGGCGGCGGCCGCGGTGAAGGTGGTGGAAGCGGGTGGTGGAAGGGGCGGTAGGGGCACGTCAAAGCGGTGGTGGTGGAGGCAGTGGGTGGCAGGGGTGAGTAGCAGGATGCGGTGGCAGCGGCGGTGGGCGGCGTGGAGGTGGTTGTCGATTGAGGGCGGCAATGGTCGGAAGACGTGGAGGCAGGGGCGAGGGAGGCGGGGACGGTGAAGAACAGGGAAGGACGGTGGCAGTGGACGAATGGGCGGAGGTGATGCCGGGCGTGCTGTATAAGGCGGAGAGCAAGGAAGTAGGGGGCGACGGTGGGCAAGTAGGCAGAGGTGAGGCGGGGGGAGGGCAGAGGCGAGGGGTGGGATGAGGTTGTAGGCTACGGAGAGGGAGGGTGGTGATGAAAGGAGGAGGCAGGCGTAAAGAGGAAGCGGGCGAGGTGAGAGCGGTTATGTTATGGCGGTGGTAGTGGAGGCGTGGGGCGGGGCGGGGCGGCAGTGGTTGGCGGTTAGTGGCCGCGATCGTGTTGGCGTAGAACGTGGGTGACTTGCGTTGGCGGTGGTGGTGGCTGGCGGAGGCGGTGGCAATGGCTGTGGCGGCGACAGTGGGCGGAGACGTCAGGTGACGGTGACGGTGACGGTGACGGTGACGGTGAAGGTGACGTAGGTGACGGTGACGGTGACGGTGACGAGGTGACGGTGACGGTGACGGTGACGGTGCGTGGACGGCTGACGGTGAGTGACGGTGACGGTGACGGTGAACGGTGACGGTGAGGTGACGGTGACGGTGAACGTGCGGTGACGGTGACGGTTGACGGTGAACGGTGACGTGACGGTGGACGTGGACGGTGACGTGACGGTGACGTGACGGTTGAGTGACCGCGGTGACGTGACGGTGACGTGACGGTGACGTGACGGTGACGTGACGGTGACGTGACGGTGACGTGACGGTGACGTGACGGTGAACGTGACCGGTGACGTGACACGGTGACGTGACGGTGACGTGACGGTGAACGTGACGTGAACGTGAACGGTGACGTGACGGTGACGTGACGGTGACGTGCGGTGACGTGACGGTGACGTGACGGTGACGTGAAACGGTGACGTGACGTTGACGTGACGGTGACGTGACGGTGACGTGACGGTGAACGTGACGGTGACGTGACGGTGACGGTGACGGTGACGGTGACGTTGACGGGTGACGTGACGGGTGACGTGACGGTGGAACGTGAACGGTGACAGTGACCGGTGAGTGACGGTGACGTGACGGTGACGTGAGCGGTGACGTGACGGTGAGCGTGACGGTGACGTGACGGTGACGTGACGGTGACGTGGACGTGACGTGACGGTGGACGTGACGGTGACGTGACGGTGCGTGATGGGCGGTGACGTGAACGGTGACGTGACGTGACGTGACGGTGACCGTGACGGTGACCGTGGACGGTGACGTGCGGTGACGTGACGGTGACGTGACGGTGAACGTGACGGTGGACGTGACGCAGTGACGTGACGGTGCGTGGAACGGTGACGTGACGGGTGACGTGACGGTGACGTGACGGTGACGTGCACGGTGAACGTGACGGTGCGTGAAACGGTGACGTGACGGTGAGCGTGACGGTGACGTGACGGTGACGCTGACGGTTGACGTGACGGTGACGTTGGACGGTGACATGGACGTGAACGTGAGCGGTGACGGTGACGGTGACGTTGACGGTGACGTGACGGTGACGTGACGGTGAGTGACGGTGGAACGTGACGGTGACGTGACGGTGACGTGACGGGACGTGAGGTGACGTGACGGTGACGTGACGGTGACGTGACGGTGACGTGACGGTGACTTGAGGCGTGACGTTGACGGTGAACGTGACGGTGGACGTGACGGTGACGTGACGGTGAACGTGGACGGTGACCCGGTGAGGTGACGGTGACGGTGACGGTGACGTGACGGTGACGGTGACGTTACGGTGAACAGCGGCAAGTGGTAGCGGTAGTGATGATGCTGGCGGAGACCAGCGATCATGGGTGATGGTGGTCTGTGGGACGATAAATCGCAGTTAAGTTGGTTCAGCGTGATCAGGGACAGTAGTATGGTAAGTGATGGTGAAGGTGGTGGTGATGTGGCATAGTATGGATGCTGATGGTAATAATGGTGGTGATCGTAGAAATGAGAGTTGGTGATGGTATTGAAAGAAGGTAAGTGGTGGTGTCACTGGAAAAGTTGGTGATGGTGGGAGTTAGAGAATGGGGTAAAAGGAAGTGAGAGAGGTAATGGAGGTGGTGATGGAGATAGTGGAAAATGCAGTGAAAATGACCCCCGAGGCGAACGGTCGTGGCGAAAGCGGTGACCGATGGCGGTGATGGCGCTGACGAAGGAAATAGCCTGCAGCGGTGATGGCGGCAGGAGCGCATAATGACACCTGCTGGCTTATGCGTGACAGTGTGTGGTTGCACGATGTGGCGTCAGACTGGAGAGCTGCAACGATGTTAGGCTTCTTTTTGTAGGTTGGGTTACGTTAGTTCAGATAAGTACGCCAATTAATTTATCTCTGTCATTACAGTGGCTATTGGCATAAAAAATCGCACATTTAGCCGGCAAAAATAAAAAAAAAAATGCGGCTGTTCACGAAGAAAACCTGGTGGTAATTCACGCACATACGTCAAGTGATTTCATTGTTATGTTCATTGTTATCTGGGCTTTTGTGTGAGCTTTCGGTATACCAACACAACACTTACAAAGTCCGGAACGGGTGAAAGCGGTCAAGGTATTACTGTCATGTATGAACCCGCCGTAAAACTGGGATCTCGGGCCGCCTTCGATAAATGGTTATACAGACAAAAATCAATACGGGTGGATGAAATTGACACGCATCCGTTCGTATATGGTTCATCTTAAACTGAGTGACTGCGGACGCCTTGGGAAATCGGTTGAACATCAATGCCGCGCAAAAATCGAACTAGTAAAATTATATCATAACGGAGGGATGTAAATCTATTTAAGAAGCATCAAAACAGAGATGAATTCTTCTTTCTTTGTGTTGTTGCGAAAACAAAAGCCCCTCGATGTAAGACACATACAGTACCAGTAGGTGGGTTAAAACATGCGTGATTTAAGAAGGGCAAAGGCGGTATGGTACGTTTTGCGAATTAGGAAGGCATCGATTCGACATTTTATGTCCGAACTATCAACATAACATTTTACGTCTCAAATATTTCTTGAACGATAAAACTAATAGCATGTAGAGTATAGACGCGATTTGCAGACATCGGATTTTAATCATTGTCTAACAACTATAACACTGATAACGGAAGATTGTGCTTCACGCTGCTCTTGGTTGCCGTGAAACAAATTTAAAAATAGCAAACCAACTATAAATATGAAAGTAAGATGAAAGGGTTGGTATTCTTAGCTTAGTTAGTAATCCTAAGGACTCTGTCAATAACAACCGTAATAGCAGCCTGCCTACCCTCCAACCCAACTCCAGTAACTTCCCACTCTGGCTCAAACTCCATTGCCTCTTATGCACGAGCTTCGGACGGTCTCGCGATTGTCCACGATGGCAACCCATCTAAAAACATTTATTTTTCGCTTAAGCGGACACATACAACTAAATTCGATGCTCTGATTTGCATTAGTGGGCGTGCACAAATTAAACTAAGACCAAATTTTATTGAACATTTAATAGCCTTCTCCTTCTTGTTCCCGAGTTTTTTTGTTTTTTTATGGGGTAGAGGACTGGGAACAGGGTAATGGCGCCACTGGACAAGGGTAATTTATTGCAACTGATATTTCTGACATCCAGTAAACATGGCTTGGAAAAGTTCCAATGCTGGATCACTATTTCGGAGAATGAGTGACCGGGTGAAAGAAAGCGGCTGAAGCAGAAGCAGATAAAATCGAATCGTGATGTGCACTTTCGTCGCATGTACGCGAGCACGTCGCTCTACGCTCAACCGGCCTCCATTCGAATGTGCGCGCAGACGCTCGGAACGCGTCCATGTTTAAGCTCGGATTGAGAGAAAGAGTCCTTCCATGAATTTTAAGACGCTCTTAGGCTGGGATTTTCTGAACGATTTCCTCATTTCTCCCTTTGAAAATACCCGACTGAAAAATAAATAGATCGTTATGTCGTCAGAGATTTTCATCATTAATTTTTTGAAAGCAATGTTCAACTGGCAAATACTTTTTGATCATAGTTCTGTAGCTTTTTACTGGATTATTTATCCTCTTATCGACACTTTAATATTGTATTATTTTTGAAGCAGTAAAGGTAAGTTATGGCGTTTACCCCCTCCACTTTATTTTAGAAAACATCTTCAAGATTTTCTAATTTTTTTCATTTATTTATAGTCGCGCCAGCAACTGAGGACATAGCGATAGAGGGCAACACTTTTTAAATCTAAAATGTATTTCCAATGAATTTATAATTGACCATAATCAATATATTGTTGAAAATAAAAAACATAAAAATACAGTTATTTTATACAGTATTTTAAATATTTCAAGTATTTTTAAATACTTATGTATTTTAAAACTTAAAACGTAATGTAGTTTGAAAAGATTGTATTTAAATACATAACTATGTATTTTAGGCGAAATATTTAAATACCAAAATTAAAAGAATTTTGCCGCAACTCTGAAAGGATTACTAGCGATTAAGAATATAAATAACCGAGATATGTAAGTATATATAAAGTAATATTTCGATTTAAAATAAATTAATGAATCAGAATAAAACAATTCAAAGATGGTTGCATGCACTTTCGGCGACTTTCACTTTGAAGTCAAGTGTGTGTATGCCAACATTGTGGTTAGCTTCCGTCATAGGTGGAGGAAGGAAACCTCAAAGGACAACCTGTCATTGTGTTGGAAAAGGCACGATATTGTACCAAGCAATGGAGCTGCACAAAAGAGTTGACAGTTAAGAATCGGTGCGCTGAACGAGGCCGCAGCCGCCGCCGCCGCCCTCGAGGTGCCCGGCGCCGGGGACCCGCCGCGCAGGAAGTCCATCTTACACGCCACCGAGCACCCGTACGACGGTGAGAGCGCTGGCTTTCCACCATTGGCTTCTTTCGGGCAATCGTCTTTATTCATTTCCACCACGAAATTCACGTATAGGATAGTTAAAGAAATGGATTACTCAGATACCAGTTTACTCGACTCTTTCACCCCAGAATATTCGATAATTCCAATTAAAGACAATTCGAATAGCGAACATTTCTGGTATGTGATCATTTGAATATCGAATAATTCGAATAATTAATTCTACAATTATCTCGATTCTCAAGTGGACATTTCCAATAGATATTTCGAATTTCGGAGTATTCCAAAATTGGGCAATTTGTTTGTCAGGTAGTTCGAATAGTGTGAATCTAAATCAGAAATTAGTAGAATCGATTAATTGATTACACAAATATCTGTTTACTCGAATATTGCGTATACGGTATGACGCATAATTCGAAAACAATGTAAAAGGAAAATGGCTAACTCGAATACCTATCGGTTAATCCGAAAAATGTATAATCCGAATATCGGATAATTCAAATGTAGGACCGTTTGAATATCAAACAATTTCTATATCGGACAATTTGGGTCTCGGATAAATTAATAAATGGTCGATTCGAAAGTGGACATTTCGAATAGGAGATATTTCGAATTCCGGAGGATTTCCAAATCGGGCAATTCGTTTGTCAGACAATTCGAATAGTGTGAATCTAAATAAGAAATTAATTGGAATGGTCGATGATTTGAATGTTGGACCTGGAGGTGTCCAGCGCACTGTCCACCCTGCACGCCACGATGGTGAGAGCGCTGGCTTTCCACGATTGGGTTCTTTGGGGCATTTAATTGGCTTCCAGTCCGCTTTTAATTTAATTATTGGATAATTCTATAAACATAATAAAGCATAATTAGAAAAACTCGAATCTTGGTTAATCCAAAAATTGAATATCCAGAAATAGATAAACCGAATACTGGATAATTTGTATATGGGATAATTCGTATATCTGGTAATTCGAATATCGGATAATTTGAATTTCAAACAATGGATAGTTCTATAGGGGATAATTACAGTTCCAGAAAATTCGAATATCGTACTATTCGATCGTCGGATAGCTCCAATAGTGTGTGACTAATTCAGAACTCCGTTGATTTGAATTTTGATTATGGAGATGCCCCGAGTCGGCGACCCGCCCCGCAAGAAGTCCATCCTGCGCGCCACCGAGCACCGTACGACGGTGAGAGCACTCGCTTATGATTCTTGAGTCAGTTGGATACTTTAGATCATTCGAATGGATTCGAATACGCATCATATTTCAGATAATGGATGGTTGGAAAAATGGATTACTCAGATATCGGTTTACTGGAATATTGAATAAACAAAATAACGTACAATTCTAAAAAATGTTAACTCAAATCTTCTTTAACCCACAAAATTGGTGTCCCAAAATTTGATAATCCTAATATTGCAGAATTCGAATACCGGATAATTCGAATATCTTTCAATTCGAATATTAAACTATATCGGACTATTCGAAAGTGGATACATATTCGTATGCACTCGTATTTCGCATTGGGGATAATTCCAATGGCCGACAATTCGAGTGGCAAATGATGTGTAACTAATTCAGAGATTCGTTGATGATTTCAATGTTGGTCCTGAAGATGCTCGACGCAGGAAGTCCATTCTGCACGCTGGAGTGACAGTGAGGACCCTTCCTTCCTACTCACAATGGCTCACAACTTTGCTTTACTCTCCGAAGTTATTTAACTCTCCTTGGGTATTTTGATTGGATTCGATTTTACTACATAATTTGAACATAGGATGATTCAATATTATTCGAATATCGATTTCCTCGAATATTGAATAATTCAAATATCGGACAATTCTAATATCGATCAATTCAAAAACGGACAATTAGAATGGCGGACAATTCGAGTGCGACTCGAATTTCTATTCGAATTTCTATTCGAGTCAATATTGGATGAGACGAGTATTGGATAACTGAAGTCAGGGAAATCAAATGTTGAATCAGAGAACCGTAGCACACGAACGGCGGCTCCTTGAAGAAAGACTTATCACCATTAACATCACATTTGGTTCTATTCCTGATATCTGTTTTTAATTGGAATATTCCAAGAGTATTTCTTTATTCGAGAAGAACGCTGTTTCGTTAAGCTTTTTTGTCCATCATTATAAAATGTTTTTGTAAATTTATTTTGTGTAAATTTCATATTTATAATAATATAGTGAAATCATATCTACTCACCCCTATCTTTGGGAAGTGATTTCAATCTTTCAATATACTTTTCTAGGAGAAACCAAAATGTCTACGTATTAGCATTAACCATCCATTAAATTGTGTTTAACAAAACCTTTCAAAGACCATTCCGTTCCCTTCAATTTTAAATTAAATTTAATTTCTGATGCTAAGAATGGTGTCATCTCAGCCTTACAGATGAGCCCTTGCTCAGCATTTATTCAAAGAACAAAAGAAAATACTTTAGAAAATGTTATAATCTATAAGCATTTTTTTATTTCTGAATTAAGAAAACAAACGGACATTCATTAAAGTAAAGAAAAGTATACTATATACAGATAAGTAAAAAAAAGTATACAGCGAAGCGAAGTTGGTATTATGAGTCCTCGAAATCCTGCCTTCCTCAACCAGAATGGAAAAAAAGCATGTAAAACTAGCTAGCTTACGTAAGACACGAAATAAAATATACATTGCAGATTTTTGTGCTTCGTTTTACAGAAGTTTTACTAATTAGAGGAACATACGCTTGTTTACAACGACGACATTCAGTCTGAAACACTCCCTACGGCTGTGGTGGAAAATCCAGAAAGCTACACGTTTTGGCTTTTAATTAGAGAATAAAAATAGAGAAATAACCCATATTATGCCGAGAGGTGAGACCGGCAAAGGCGATTCAGGGCATAAAGAGATGTCACTAAGGGCCTCTGACCGGGAAGGTCTAGGATTCAAGGTCCGGCTATGGAAGGATTTTCGACTCTAACTTGTCAGCTAGCTCGAATTCAGCTTCTATGTGGAGGATAATTCTAGCGGCTGTCTGCTCCGATCGGTGGTTCTCCGTGGCTTCTCCGATCAACAACACTAGGCGAATGCCGGAGTAGTTCACTAACAAACGGGCCACGGACCGCGTGCGATCTTGCCTTCCTCTTCCTTGTCCTCACCCCTTACTAGCATACACACTTATTTGCAGTTCTAGTACGCTAAAACACGGGAGACAATTCGGAAGCTTCGAGCTTCAGCAAGGGGGGGGGGGCGCGGGTAGCACCACTGGTGGGAGATACCTGGTTGAGGAAAAACTCGCAAGCAGACAGGGAGGACGTCATCGAATACCGCCATCCGGGCGGGGACAGAATCAATGCCACCTGCCGAAGAAAATCATGCCCTACACTAACGAGACTAATTAACTTACCAGTATACGTGTCCGGAATCACTAATCAATAAATCAATAAAAAATCGAGGGTTGAATGCGGCGTCCACTTTATAATTTCGGTACCCATTAGTCGGAGTTCTGCCTTAGTGGCTTTTAGCTTTCATTTCAAATACTTTTAGTGAAAGGAACTCGATTGTATGTCGGATGCAAACATTACGGGACTGGTATTTTTGATACGGAATTCTGAAACTAAACTATTTATAAAGTAAAAAAACGTAACCCTTTGCTTCAGAAAATTAATTCTGCCTTTTACTCTAACTCTAAATTTTGGGAAAATAAATGCTCCAAAGCAAAAATAGATCGTTAGCTGATAGAGAAATTGATGAAACGTTTCATGTTAGGTTATAATTTACAATGCCTTTTACTGTTTTGAAGTGTGTATGAGATCTTTTCTCAGCATTTTTCACTAATTAAAGTGAAAGAAAGGTTTTTATCATGTTCTGATCACAAAAGCAGTGACGAGAATGTCCGTACCTTTTCCTTTGTTTTACATCCAAACAACAGGAAAATAAAGTGATAAATTCAAAGGACACGATTTTCGCCGATTTCTTTTATTTTTATATCACCTCTAGTTAATTATATTCTATATTCTTCCACAAAATATTTCCCTAATCTCAATGTGTGATTTTTTTAATGTTTCAGACGAAAATGTAATTAAAACAAGTATTTTACAATAGAAATTATAAAATAGCGTGATATTAAATGAAACAAATACATAGAGAATAACATTATTGTACTCTACAAAGTCTCATCAAAGAAATAATGAAAAATGTATCATTTCTTTTTTTCACGCATTCAAATTGTTTATTTTTTAAGAAAGAGGGCGCTCTCACTATACCTAAGGTGTGAGGTGACTGAGTTAGACATTCCGAGGGCTAATGAAGATTTTGGTGTAAAATATGTCCAAAAATTATTTATTAATGTGTAGTGTTTGCATTATTTCAATGTATGGGGATTGGTTCAGAAAGAACTTAATGACAGTTGTAAAATTATGTTTCATTTGCTGCAATTAATTTTAAGCGAAAAATGTACCGCTGAGGATAATTGTAAGAGCAGATGGAATTTTCAAAATTCATTCTTTAATGAAAAATCTCAAACCTGTTTCACAAATCCGTCATGAGAAAGCAGTTAAATCGACCACAGCTGCATTTCTTTACGAACACGAAACTTCAATTGTCCCTTTTTGAGTCATTCTAACAAGCGGATATTGTTAGCTCTATCAATTAGTGTATGCTTCATTATCTTCATTGAACACAAGAAAGCAAGTTTGCCCACTAAAATACGGCGATTTTTGGATGTTTTAAAATATTTGTTGGTTTATGTTCAAACATGTTTCCCTATAGAGGAAATCGTTTAATTTTTTCAGATGAATAATTAAAAATGTTTTTAACAGTTTTTGTTATAATTTCTAGCGTTTTTACGATCAACAGTGAGAGATTATGAATTCCCGGCTTTAGACCAAATCGAGTTCGGTGATTTTTCCTTATGTTGATGGATATATACTTGCCTTTAAATATGAAGCTTCGTTTAAGTCAAACGTAATAATAACTTTTACAATTACGTATGCCTTTATAAAAGTCTGCATATCAAAAAGATAAGTACTTTGAAATATTTTGCTTAAATTATGAATTAATGTCCTTTAATTTGAGTTTATTGGTAGTTAAGGCCATGAAACAGCAAATTTCTTGTCATTGCTGTTTCTTGTGTTTTTGTAACGCTTTTTAGTGGTCTTCCCAATTTTATTTCAGCTGTACTTACGTTTTGCTCTCTATCTCGAAAAAACAAAAGAGAAAACCAAAACATCAGAAATTCATTTTAGACAGTTGACTAGCAACATTAAAAAATATCACTCAAGAAGTCAAGCGTGATTACGTATTACCCTTAGTTAATTTTATTGAGTGATTTAATGATCATTAAATATATTGAATGATTTATGTAAATATTCTCCGAATAATTATGTCGTTATTTTCATATGCCATGTAATTCCAATTCGAAACATTTCGGATCATTTTACGAGCTAATTCTACATATCTTGGAACTCTACAAAGCGCATCGTCAACCCGTTTTGTCAACGTTCACCGACGAAACAACTCATTTTCACGTCTTCCTTCATTTACACAGGCAAAGTTTTTAATAGCCAAGAGTCTTTGAAAATTTCATAGAAACATATTCTATGTTAGTAGAAAAGTGACGGAAAAATTAGAGCCTTTTAAGATAAATTGTGTTGAACTCTGTCGACAAAGAATCATATTTATTTAAATATTCGTGAAAACTATTAAGATGATGTAGATTATATTATTCAATCGACAATTTGATGACATGAAAAGATATAACATAAATAAGTCTATTCTTATTTAGACACATGTTACTAATTATACTTCGTTTTGAAGTGAATTTCTGTGCTCACATAATGTTTAAAACGTCAATATTATCAGTGATTCAAATTTCCTGGGCGTGAGTTGTAACACCTCTGCGATGCAACACGACAACGTGTTGATGAATTTAGTAGACGTAATATGTCAGATAACCGAGTCATTTGGAGCTCATCTGCTCTTTCAGTAGTCAGCTGACCTCTTATCTTTTCCCATTAGTCCGTTGGAAATAGGTAGATCGTAGAGTCCTGATTTCAGTGTTCTCAGCGAAGGCTGGAGCTTCAGAGCAGTGAGATCCGTGTAAATAAGAAACATAGCTCAAGTTATTTTTGAAATCTAAAAGCACAATTTGCGGAAAATCTCATTTTTACATTTTCTGTTCTAAAAACAGTATAATTGAACATTCTGAAATGAAATAATGATACAAAATTTCGTAAGATCATACTTGCATGCTGTTTTCTGTTACCTAGGAAGGTCACGATTTCGCAGCTCAAACTGGTTTTGGTTGCGATTTTAGGGAGTATTGTGATACTTTGCTTCTTCAACTTAGTTTATTTTTAAAAAACCTAACACTCAACATTTGCAGGTTGGTTTAACTCGCTGGCACACGTTTCAAAGCAAAGCTTTTAAAATGAACCTACTAGTACTAATGTTTATTTCTTGCTTGCGTAGAGTCGCAATAATCGGAGGTAATTACGGCTGATTGTACCTCAGATTACAAAAAAATGGGTTTACATAAAACAAAAAGAAACTACAATATGGGTTTACATAAAATAAATTTCAACTATAATATAAAACGAAGTCAAATTTAATGTCCTGATACAAAAGTTACATACATACAAACACACACAAAGATTCAAATTACAGTACGTTTAGTGTAACGCACTGTACAACTGAGTAGCGAACCGGCCACAACAATATAGCAGACAGACTGACACCGACCGCCGCACACGTGATCTTCTACGCAGTGTTACCAACCTGTCAAGAGCTAGCTTCACATTTATCGCCGCTTGTTTGCTTGAGTGACCTCGCGCTTAACAAGCTTATTTCCCAATCTACGATTGCACGGAATATCGGATTTCTGCGACTCTACTGTACTATTAAATTTTCTATTTCTTTTTTTACATACCACGTAATTTGTAGCCGCCAATCTTATTATTTCCTTTCCAAGCGTGACTTTGATTGCACCCCTATTACAATACTAGGGTAAAGTGTCAAGTGTAGTTCTGGTACCACAGTGGCTACATACGGCGTAAGAAAAAGTAAGGTATTATTAGGACAATGAAAGATTTTAAAATTTTTCTGGTCGGTGTTATTTTGGCTCGAGGTTAAATTTAAAAATAATATAATTCGTATTGGTTTAAAATATTTGAATATGTGAAGTTGAACTTACTAGGAACGAACACGTCTGAAACACCATGAACTTGCAACGGATGGATCTTCTACATTTTCTTTCCACTTAAACGTTACATAGATGTTACCACTGTAAGTAAATTTATGTTCAAGTTAAAATATGTGAGCAGGTAAAGGTGTTTTCACTTCCGTGCACAAAGCTTTTTCTCCTCACCACAATTTCATTTTGCATGAATAATGTTACTGTACTCTCAATTTTACACAACACTCTCTGCAGCTATTCATTTTTATAGCTAGCCGTGGTAATCCCTTCACTGAGCTAAATAAAGCTCCAGTGTTTTCACTTACGAAATCTGATACTTGTTAAAATAATTTTATAGACTATGTGGTTCCTTAATATTATTGAAAAAACTTCTCGTTATATTGTAATGGCGTAAGGTAAGAGTAGTACAGGTATCGTAGAAATAGTATAGTTGGTAAGGGTGTAAGGATCGTAGGTTTGTATCTGAAGGTACAGTATATCCTGTCTGCTTATAATTGAATGTATGTTTGATTGCACCATATTCACCAGTTTTCAAAAACACTGTAAAACACTTTCAATTACACCTATTGTCGTTATTTACGTGTTGTGCCCTGTAATTACATGTCCAAGCTGTTTGCCTCTTCCCTTCTATTTATCGACGAGTTTTATTTGACTGACACCTGTGCCGAGGACGCGGCGTCTCTGGGACAGCCAAGTAGCTACCTTCCTCAGGGCAAAATACTCAGGCAAACCGCAGAATGGCGGCCGAAACGTGAGCAGCTGTGCCGAGGACGCCGCGTCTCGCGGACAGACAAGTAGTTAGCGACTCGGGCCGCGGGAGCCTGAGCTCTCCATAACCTTAATAGTTAACTTGAACCGACATGTTCTCGAACGCTTTCCTTCATCGGGAGAGGCATCTCAGGGCATCAACTGATGTGTCTGCAGTGCCTCTGTCCGGAGTTTGAGTCGCGACTTTGGCAGAATTTCCGACAATAGCTTGTCAGCTAGGTCGAATTCAGTCCCTGCCTGGAGCAGATTTCTTCAGCTGCTTTGATCGGAAGTTTTCCGTGGTTTCTCCGATCAACGCCAGGCGAATCCCTGGGGAGTACACTAACAAACGAGCCACGGACAGCGCACGATCATTCTTTCCTCTTTCTGGTCTTGCCCTCACCTCATTATTGCACACTCACATGCACTACACCACCACACTTGTGGGGAGACCAGTGGGTAGCTTAGACCTTCACCCGCTTGGTTCGTTACAGGTGGGAAATATCAGGTTAGAGAGAGGAAGCCGACGTGTCAGTCGGCACCGGATCTGTTCAGCTAGTGCGGAAAAAACATCACCACTTCCCGCGATGGAAATGCATGCACTACACTTACAGGAGTGGGTCAGTACCCCCCCCCAACAAACGGGCCACGAACTGCGCGCGACCATTCCTACCACTTCCTTGTCCTATCCTCTCTCCTTAAACACAAACACACACTTCAACTAACACGCACTACATAAGCACACATGCCGGGAGACAGATCGGGAGATTGTCCCGACTGGGGCGATGTCCGGCTGGTGGGAGATACCTGGTTAGGGAAAAACCGCGCGAGCCAACGACGGATGTCACCATACAGCGAGGGAAAGATCACCGCCACATCCGGATCCAAAACATGCACTAATCTTACGGGAATAACGACCTTGTTTAGTTGACGTGCACGAAATCACTAAACCATCCATTAATCTTACGGGAGTGAAGACTGTAGCCCTATCCTCCCCCTTTACACACACACACTCACACTAACACGCACTACACCAGCACACATTGCGGAAGACTTGTCGGGAGCTTAGAGATTTCCAGGCTGGTGGGAGATACCTGGTTGGGGAAAAGCCCGCTAGCCGACGGTAGGTCGGAGCCGGCCATACAGCGAGGGTAAGATCACCGCCACCTTCCAACCCAAGCATGCACTACACTTACGGGACCAGTGACCCTGTCAGTTGACGTGCCCGGATTCAATCTCTCGGGCGTGACGGCTGTAGTGGTTAACGCCTTCTGCTCCCCCGCTGCTGCCGCCGCGGGCCGCGGCCGCGCGCTCGCTGTCGGCGACGGGCCGCCGCCGCCGTGGCGCCGCCGCGGCCGCCGCGTTGCAGCTGTGTGCTTTGCGCAGGCTCCCGCTGCGCCGAAGGCCCCGCGCGGCGCGTGTCCATCCTGCAGAACCCTCAGCACGCGCACGGAGAAGGTGAGCACCAGCCCGCACCAGCAGCGCACGCCGCACAGCACGATGCACGGCGGCACGCTTGGCTTAACCCCTGCACGCTCGCCCTGCACTCGCGTCACTGACGGAAACTATCAATTTAAGGAAGTTTGTATAATATTATGGACTACTACAGTGCTCGAATAGTATGCACACACTTATAGGAGAGACCCAATATATATATATATATATATATATATATATATATTAGGATATCTCATGGGCTGTGTACTACCTTCTCGTGGTGGGATCCTGGGTTCTTTTCGTGATCGGGCCAAAACAAGAGCTGTAGCTTTCCTTAAAAATCATCAGAGATTCTGTAGCTGTGTGATGAAGGAAAGCTCAGGCAAGCAAAATTTGCTAGTTTTCATGAGGGGAATATGTCATGTTCGCCGTAGGTTATTTTTACTTCACAATCTGGGGAATTGACTGGGTCCAGGCAAGAGGCACACCGTTCGCAAACCGGCAAACTCGGAAAACTGTTGCCTGAGAATGTCAACTACACAAACACACACACACACACACACATAATATTGCATTATATATATATATATATATATATATATATATATATATATAATATTGTTTTTACAGATCTTTCTGATTTATTTTTAATTATCTCAAACCGTAGAGACGTATTATCTGTGTTTACCACTTACATGACTTCATTTTAGGTCTTTGATGAAACGCCCATTTCTATCACACTTGTCACATTGATTCACCGTAGTAAGTGACTAAACAATCTACTGCGAATGCACAACAGAACTACTAAATTTTGCGGGAAACAGGTAATCAATAAGGCGCAAACTGTATAAGAAAACGATTCAAAATATCCTGCTAAGATCGCATAGAGTATGTGTGCAGGGTTAATAACACTACTCCACTTCGGGCAGATCAGAACCATCTCTTTCGGCTTTGTGCTTCCACACCAGGCCTCACAATGCGCGCTGCATGGCGAGCGTTTTGCTTAGCGCTGCTCTGAGAGCTAAGATGATAGCTTGTTTGCATCTGCGCAGTAAAGTAGTTTTCCCCCTTAAAGGCTCAAACACGCACGTGGGAAAGCTATCATCTACCACGGCAATCTCTTGCCAGCAGATTCAACAAAACAATGTATTATACTACGACAATTAATGCTTTGACGCACGCTCCTTATATAAAATGAAATTTTAATTATTTAACCTATTAACAAGGTGATCTGTTATAATCTGAGAGCCCTAATTTGCTTACTTGGCACACGAAAAACGTGTTCATCACCAACCCACATGTCAACACCTTAGACTTAATGTTATGGGCATACCACTTTGAGACTTGTAATCAAAACCTTGAGCCAATCACATTATTGCATTGACCAATTATTAACAGAGAAAATGAAAGTCCTTTACTGTGATAAATTAAAAGAATAAATAGGGAAGGAATAGCGGAGAAATTTTATTTTGGCTGTCGATAAATTAGTCAATATTAGAACATTTTACAATATACTTCAACCACAATTATTTACAGTCACATTTAATTTTTGAGACGGTCTGTTTCTCTTTATGTATCAATCTATTGTTCTTTGTCTTTCTCTGTATCTCTTTCTCTCTCCTCTCCCTGTCTCTCTCTCCTCTCTGTCTCTCTCCTCTCTCTGTTTCCCTCCTCTCTCTGTTTCCATCCTCTCTCTGTCTTCCCCCTCTCTCTTTCACCCCTCTCTCCCTCCCTCTCTCTCTCTCTCTCTCCTCTCTCTCTCTGTCTCTAATATTCACAGTAGGTTTCACTCTATCAAAGACGTATACTTTTTATTGGCCTTAATAAGTTAATATAAATATTCTGAAAGATTGAGTCGGTTATAATGTAAAACGTCTTATCCGGTTTATCACTCGCACAATGGCCAGAATCACACACACACACATCAAAGTCGCACGAACCGTTCACGTCCCGTGGTGCATGGCGCATGTTCTGTTTGCTCATTGCATGATGTGGTGATATGTCACACATTGAGACAGAATTGATTACAAACACCAGTAGCGAAAATCACACGTTCAACGATTTATTACAAAAGTTGCTGTTGCACACTTTCCGCATTTCTCTTCAGCCTTTGTCGCACAAAACCCGCAATACATTGCCAAACCACTTGCTGCATGATGCATGCTTTGCTTGCCTTACTGCGCGGTTTCGAGTCGGATCACACACAAGTTAGGAGAAAGCTCTGTTTTGCAAACTCATGCATTTTTAGAGAGGAGGCTACTCTCCAACACGTCTGCCTTCTACCTGGCTCTGCCAACATTCAACAAGTAAATATTGATTCACATCAGGTGTCGTTAAAGGTCTTATCACTCAATTTACCTCAAACTGCTTTTATTTTAACTGTTTCTATGCATGCCACCGCTAATTGTAGGTTAGTAGCAACATTAATGTACCTGTCGAACTAAACATAGATTATACATGAACATAAAATAATATAGAGTAATTTATGTGACTAAACAATATTAACTTATTACAGATTGATTAATTACTAAAATGTAGTGTAGATATGTCAATAAATAATCTCACTAATTTTTTAAAATAATTAAAAGTTAACTGTGTCGTCTAAGATAAGATGCAACTCGAAAGTAATTTTATAAAATTTGAAAATTACTTGTCGTTCTGGCGCTGAAGTTATGTTATATCATTATTGGCACGTTTTAACAAACATCGTGATTGAGTAACTGTATTGCACTGTTATAACTCGACAATTGTTAGCACAAATACCTCAAAATCTTTTCAGGGTTTGGAGTCAATTATGAAACTGGAATCAGTACGGCATAATTTGTTATTCTAAACCCTCTCATACAAGATTTCTATCTTTTAAGAAATTACAAATAAAACAGTGCGTATTTTGCGCCACTATAAAAGGATTGATTTTACGTTCATTTGTTTTTGTTTTTTTTTAATTGAGTTTTAAAGATATAACAAAGTTGAAATAAATCATCATTTTCTGAAAGACTATAAAATAATTATTGGGTATAAATTAGTTTTTAAGATGGTATTAAAAAAGATAATACGGCATATTGAAAACAAATGTAACAATTAGAGACAACAACGGGATATGTATCGTTGCAAAGGCAAAGAGTCTTTTTTGGCACAAAAATTCGTTTTAAGACTGCCATAAATGGAAGCAGTTCAAAACGGTAGAGTTTGTATGTAAAGCTAGATACCCAAATCGTTACGTCCTCTTGATTTGCATTTGCTCAAATAGAGCTACCAATCAACATCGATTTGTCTCATGGGAATATAGGGTTAGCAGGACACAATGCCGCAACAATTGGAACAAATTATATCTAACGTGAACTCTATCGTTCGAATACAGTATTTGGGATTATATACAAGATTTGGGATTACCTACGGTAATTCTGCTAGAGCATCGTTCTCCGATAGAACTCTATCGTTCACGCATGCGCAGATACTGAAAGGCGGGTTCATATGGTAAACGGTATAGTGCTCCATGATGTGCAAAAACTCTCTACTATATAATCTCACTACTGAATTGAATAAACGGTCGCGAATCGATAATTAAATATGTATTATTAACATCAAGTAATATTTCAAGTATATTCTTCTTTTTCACTCTATAAGACCTAGGCTTTCCGTCATTTTGAAAATATGTCGTTCTCTTCGAAGCAAGCCTCCGGCAACAAACGCTTGCTTCAAGTGCACCGCCCCTTTTTCGAAAGTGTTGTTCCTACTTAAACGCTTTTGCGAGCACTTGTCGCGCACCGCAAGGCGGGCTGAGTGTAATGTTGGCTGCACTGCAGACGGAGAGGGTTCCGCCCCCTCCCGCAAGGTGTCCATCCTGCAGCACGCGCCGGCGGACGGCGCTGCGTTGGCGCACTACGAGGGTGAGCACGCACGCACGCACGCACCTATGCAACGCGCACGCCCTTGTGCTACATGTGGGTTCAGGTTCTTGGTACATTGGCTGTCCGACGTACTCTCGCTCAACGCCGCAGTATTACATATACGTTGAGCTCAATGGCGGTTTTATGGTGAAGAAAGTGAAGTGTCACTTCACCTATGAATTACCGTATAAATGGGGCAAATTATTATTATAGAGCTCTTGAATATCTATTCGGGTAATCTCGTTCGACACGCAATATTACATATACATTGGGCTCAATGGCGGTTTTTTGGTCATGACAGTGAAGTGTGACTTCACCTGAAAGCTAGTGTATAAATGATGCAAATTATGACAGAACGTACAAATAACTTCCACGCTTAAACCTCTATATTTATTTCCTTTTCTTTTCCTCATTCAGTATCCTCTTACTCTCGTAATCCTATCACCTTAAGTGGCTCAGGGAATCATCTGATGTTACTGCAGTGCCTCTGACACGGAGGTCGTAGGGTTCGAGTCCCGTTGGCAGGATTTTCGACGCCAGCTAGAAAGCTCGGCTGCCTAGAGGAGAATTCTAGTTTCCGGCTGATCTCATCCGATGATTTTTGTTAACATAGCGCTCGCCTCTTGTCGTCGCTTCCGTGTGCGCACAGTCATTGTTGGGGCTCTGTGGAAGCAAGTATTTGCAACTTTTAGTGTTGAATCATTGCATCTTTTAGTGTTGAAGCTTTTTTTTAGACAATGTAGCAAAACCGTTAAACTTTTGCTGCGTATGCCACGTCTACTTCGGTGTGGACTAAGCATTTACTTTCCACCGGCTGTACCTTTTACTTAATCGCAGGCGTATACCAGCAAAGCAGTGAAACAAAGAAAGAACAGTGAGTGAAGTATCATAACCCGGACAGCCAAAAAGTACCGTTCTATTCAATTTATGTGCCGTTCTGTCTTTATTGAAAGTTCTTCTTTGAGAAAGAGCGGGTTTTATTACTTTTTTCTGAGCTGTGGTTTCAACTTCTGTCGTCTCTCTGAAGATGTGTTGCTTTATCTTTTTCTTGACTTCAAGTACATTTGTATTCTAGCTACGATATGTAGTCGTGTCCTCGATCTTCACTTCACTGTTATTATTTCTTTTCTT